AGTTATCTCTAGTGAAATGGTTAAGCTTTTATGAAGTAAATTGAAAGCAAAAGCATAAAAGCAAGTCAGAGATAAGGAAAAACGAAGATAATAATCATATAGAGTAACAAATGGAAGCAAAGTCTAAAAAACGACTTCGACGAAAGCTTTCGTCTTTGATTCAGGTAATGGCCTTAAGCCCTTAAAACACTAATTACCTGGGAGGCATTATATATTTTTTAAACTCAATTTTAAATTTTGCGGCTTTCGTCTTACCTTTCATCAAAGGATGGAAGCTTACAAAATCGTTTTCCCCTTCGTAACTTGCTAACATATATATGAGACATTCTTCAGCCGACATTCAGCTATGTTTTACATGCTAATTACGTGCAATAGGCAGATGTAGCTTCAAAGGAATAAAATTATTTACCTCTCCATCCCTATTTATTCTTGTATCCTATACTACTTGTGGTTCAGGAAAAATATATATGGTATCTAGAAAGACTTACGATATGTTCCTTGAATTCAGTTAAAATTATTTGTTCGTTTCATTTCTACCCATGCATTTCTATGTTCAACATACCGGTCGTAATTTTGAAGCTATTTTCACGAAAGCCGGCACATTGAGATATGTTGAGCCAAAGACTAGTCCTAACAATTTTTAACGGTCAGTCCTCTTATAACGGTATTTTGAGAAAATTTTAATAAGCAAAACAAATGCATTTTTTTCAATTTCCGCACAAAAGTCGATAGAAGTTGTTAGGTAAAATTTTCGATTTTTTCATGTCTTTCTCATATAATCAATCGCTTTTAATTATATTGTTATGCGGTAAGAAGGTGTAATTTTTAATGTTTTACGATAAAAAACGATTGACAAAAGTTGTTATTGTTGTGTTAACCGCAATCTGTATTGATTTACTTATTTATTAATTGTAAATATCAGCTTTTTTATCATTCATAAAAGCATACTTTGCAATAACTGGAACAGTCAGCTAACAGCGTAACTATCCTGAATATGGTAAAATTGCAAAACAACACTTATTTGACTTGTTTTGCTATCAAAAAAACTCTTTTCGATCTTACACCAGCAGTAGTTGTTTAACATAAAAATTAACTTCACCAAGTTTGGATCATGTAGGGTCTATTGTGTAGGAGCCACTCCATATAAGAGTTTTTATCTATCATAAGGGAACAAGGCCCGCAAAATAATTGGATTATTATAAGGCGAAGTATTGTAAAGTGTTTAAGGGTCGACGTCGCCCCACCATGACGATTTTTACTGGTTTTCATTTTTAATAATACCAGATTTAAACGATGTACGCAGAAAGTTTTCGAAAACTTTGTTTATAAAACACTTGTTGCACTTAAACATCTTGGCATTTTTCAGAAAAAGTGATATCATTCTGAACATTATCTATCAATTGGCGTTAAGTACTTCTTATCTACGTTTAATATTGATTGCAAAATATAAATTTATTCAAGATATTGATAATGCAGTTTATATAACACTTCATTTTGTTATATCATAAAAACGTTCAAGACTTTCATTTCGCGAAAGAGGTTTCGTAATACTTGTGCATCCTTCCTTGTGCAAGTTTCCTTTCAAAGTACATATAGAACATCACATACAGACGCTATATATTAGTGTCTAGCTTAAGGTAATTAAAGTGCAAACACTTGACCTATTAATTAATCCATGTAACCTCTGAAGAACTCTCTCTCTCTCTCTTAGAATAAGTAAAGGCTGGCAATTTCGTTTCCACTTAAGTGATGCAAATTCGTTTAAAAAAAAATAATAAGCTAAGTTAGACGGCAAACATGGCCTTAGCCAAACTTTAAAATTTCTTCTTTCTTCTTCAATGACTTTTATGTGACTAACTATCGAATATTTGTACACATTTTCTGTAGAAACGATTTCGACCATGTTGTTGGTAAATTCGTAAAGGATAAATATGTGTAAGATTTACAATTTATTTGAAGCTCAAATAATCTCTTTATTTATTTCACATTTGCATGCCATTGAATGCACAATGTTATCATTCATAAGCGTTTTTACCTATAACACCTAAGGAATTGTTATAAATAGTTTTCTATTGCACACTCACCATATAATGCAACACATGAGCGTATATATGTGAGTCAAGAAGCGAAGCGTTTCGAATAATTTCAAATGTCTGATAAAGTGCAAAAACCCAGAAAAATTTCTTTCTCTGCAACATCTACGAGCACTCGATGCGTGCATAGTCAGATTGACATTTCAGGATGACTTATTCATACTCCTGCTTGCAATGCTTTGCTGGAAAATTTAATAATTAGAAAAAAAAAAAAAAATCACAACTCAATTGACATAGTTTATGTTAAAGTTCGTAGCTGACATTTAAAAATGCTTATGATTCGTCCACAACATTTGAACGCGTTACCTGCAAAGCAAGACCAACTTAAAAGTATGAAAAAAACCTATAGACGAGATGAAAAGTAAGAGAATGCTTCTCATAGACAGCTTATACATCGGAAGAGATCCAAAATGTGAGCGTAGTGCAAAGATCTTTGTTATTCTTTACCTAGTATTAGAAAGTAGACTATGCCGGCATATAAAGGCTTACATCTTACGAGCACTCCTCTCCGAAATAGGGCCCAAAAAATTACCTTGTGGGGTTCAAATTTAGTGCAATTTATTTTGATGTTCTTAGGTCTTCTTTTCAACTTCTTTTGGTAGCCTGCTCTCTTCAAATGATTCCAAAGTGTCGTGTGGTTAATGTTTAGTGTCTTCACTATTGCCTGATAGTTCCAGTCTGCGCGTCAGTCTTGTTGCATCAGTTGTAAAATGTCATCTACTTTTTCAATGACTAGCCGGCCAGAGCGAGATGCATCTTTTCTGAACGGATTCGAATAGACAAGTCCAAGATCCTTAGTTCACATACAATGCACTTCACAATTTTTCGTCAAGTTTTTGCATTTTTGATAGTGACAAAGCTTCACATGACTTATTCCTTCAGATATTTCATTTATTTTCGAATCAATATACAACTTTTTCTCCGAGCAAAGAATTAGGAAACTATCTTCATAATGAAATGTCACCTTTTAAGCACATGTTTGTTTGAGGCCATCAGATGAGTGCTGCCCGATATATTGACATTAATGCACCACTCCGCGCGGAATTTTCAATATGACCTAATAGCATTATGAAACGATATTTATTGGAAGATATATAAAAAATGAGGGCTTTTTTCATAAAAAAAATTATTTTTCCTAGGAGGGGTTGATTAGGTGGGTTTCAAAACCCATCTATCCGATCCAAATTTTGCTGAACAATTTATTTCGTTGAACATTACATCGAGTACTTTTCGCTAATAAGCTACTTTGCAGGGAAGGTAATTGCAACAATGGCCCGATTCAGACCTATTTCGGCATTAGACATTCATGGGCCAAAACCGATCTTGGCCATAAATGTCATCAGGATATCTTTAAAATTACGGCCTGCTTATTGAATACAGAAATATTATGCCAAGCAGACAGGTGAACAAACAGGTCAGAAACAGGGAGCAAGAGAGTTTATGACTCGGTTTAAATCGATTCAGAAAATATTCCTTAGTCGATCGGTATAACAGCACATAGGTTTATCTTAAGTCTTCGTGAGTATTAAATGCATTGCATGTGGTTTCAATAAAATCGTTTTATGTGTTGTTTAATCGACCAAGTAATCATATCATTGAAAACAAAATTTGGTGGGAAGAGACCCTAATAGAAAACACCATGATTTTCTTGCTTGATTTGCAATCATATCGCATTAGTCAAATTTTTTTTGCATTTGTTGCCACATAAACCAAATGAATAAATTAAGCAAATTCTTGTAATGTATTTCTTGTAATTTTAATTTATTTAATATTTTTATACGCAAATTAGAGGCTACATATATATATATATATATATATATATATTACCTTTATAATATTACTTTTACTTATTATATATTATTTTTTTTATTTATTTTAACTTTTTACTTTATTATATATTACCTTTCTCGTAAATCATAGACATAACCATTTAAGGTTATATAAGATTGCATATAATCTTAACTAGTGTGAGTGTCAGAATCGATTTAGAATATATTTGCTTCTAGCCAACTCGCCATCTGTCAATTCTGCGACCTCAAGAGATCATGCCAAACAAACCATTCGCTCCCGTGCCTAAGAAAAAATCAATAATTTTTTCTCTTTTCTTTTTATTGCAACTATTACTTATTTAAATCTCTACATTCAGCTTAAAAATTAACTAATCTAGACTAGAAAGGTCAGCACAAAATCATTCGTGTATACGTTCATGCGATCATCATCGGCGATTTAATTTTGTATTGTACAAGAGCACATGTTCTAACGTTGCATCGTATACTAGACTCGTCGATATACATTGATACGCGGTGTAAATATCATAGCTTATTGAAGGGCTTAATGATTTCAATATAGGCTAACGCTGACTTTAAAAAAAATTCAATCAGGCGTAAACATGTTACTAGTCTTCCTTTTTTTTTTTTTTTTTTTTTTTTTGCTTTTGCATAGAGACGTCTCAAGTGATTTTTACTAAATAAATAAAAGGTAACCGATTAGTACTTAATCTAATAATTTATTTTCTCTTAAAATGCTCTCCGATTTCTTCATTCCTAAAATTTCTATTAAACAATTGCTCTTTATATGCAGAGTCTATATGAAAAAAGCTCATTAGTGTAATTAACCTAAAAAAAAAAGAATTAGTTAAACGTGTAAATTCACGCATGCCTACGTTACATATGAAAATTATAGCACTCTGTGATAACAGCAATAGCAACGAGAAAGAACACTGTGCGTGTGTGTGTGTGTGTGTGTGTGTGTGTGTGTGTGTTGCAATCGATTTATTCCTACAAAGCGTGGCCATAAGAGTTGTTTCCTTTGAAATAAAAAATAAGAGTAGGAGCACGCAAAGAGAACAAAGAGAATTATATGAATGGTTTCGTGAATTTTTAGCGAATATTTGAACAGATCAACAGAGATCGTGAACGGAAGTGGACGTGTGTAAGTGCATAAACAAAGAAAGAAAGAAGAAGAAGAAGAAGAAGTCTATTAAAACGGTACTTTAAGATATTTGCAAGCAAATAACGCCACCACCATATTAATAGAGTAAATCATGCAGATAATGAAAATGGAATAATTGAGTTGCTTAAAAATTTCAATTGAATAATTTTTGTTTTTTTTTTTTTTTTTATAAATATTAATTTATATATTATCCTTAATTTTTTTTTTTTGAAAAAATTGAATTTAGGATAACATAGATATAAATATATTTAAAAATATTTAAGATCGATACTTTGAGTTTCTCAACTCTTTACAATTGAAAGAAGAAAGGCTTGAGAAATGGTTTTACGGACAAAGTATGCTTTACTTTAGTGTTTAGTTAGTTAAATTGTAATCGCAACCTATATATTTTAAGTGGCCACATGGCCACTGTTTTAAAAATGTGAACAAACTCGCGAAGAATTAACGTGAATAGAGCACAACTGTATGCAAAAACGTATTCGACGTATGCTACTCGAATGAATATTTAAATACATTTTACTCTGAATTTAATCCCGAATTAATATATCGTATTACAAATTCAATCGTATAGCCGCAGCAGTAACAGTTCCGAAACAGCTTGCATATATGCACATATATATGCATATTATGTGAATGCATAAATAATGTCAACAAATAATTAATATTAAATGTGTTTTAGAAAACAACATAACAATATAACAAATAAACCATTAACCTCAAGTTAAACAAAAATAAAACAAATAAAAATAGAATTAAACCAAAAATTTTACCAAATCTAGTGTTACGAGGATATGTCTGCCATAAATCATTTAACAGAAGCCAAAGTAAATAATGGCATATTGCACAGGCGAAGCGGTAACAGCAGCGGTAAGTGCAGCACAACTAACAACAAATGTTGGAAATTAGCTTATAAAGCTAAGGGACATCTTTGCAACAATGACGACGACTTTTATCAATTAAAATCAGTTTATCATCAAAAACAAAATCAACAGCGTCATTACTCTAGTCCGTCCCTTAGTGCTACTAGAAGTAACACATATTGCTCATCATCATCATCATCATCATCATTGTCGTCGTCTATTTTCTGCTTTATTTATTCGTCGCAGAGTGTATGCCTATGGTGTTTTACATTTTTATCATTGGTGTGTTTATTAATGATGCATAACGCCTCAGCTGAGCCTCAGGGATGCATTCTCTGTGAAAAAAGTGATTTGAAAGGAAAAGATCCTCAAACCAATTATGAAGAATTTCGTTTTGAGCATCAAGTCACACGTCAAGATGCCATTAATGCGTTGCGCCGATTGAATGACAGCTTTTATGAAGGTCAGTAATAATACGATTATGGTCACTATAAAGCAACTGAAAGCGAGTATAATTTACATAAATTTTTGTTTTGTTCTTTTCTGCAGGTCCAGAAGTGGGTAATTCGTGTAATGCTGTACGCTGTACATCAAAACTGATGAAATATTGCTTAAGTTCGCAATTTATTAACGATCATTGTCTATGCGAATTAGGACATAACTTGGGTGAGTAAAACTAATGATAAATTGATGAAGAAATCCCTTCAATCACCGATTCGTGAGCTTTGATATTTACCCGTTCACAAAAATCCAGAAGGTTTGAAAAAAAAAAAAAAAAAAAAAAAAAATTAGAAATACTTTTAGACAAAATATGTTATCAATCTACAGGCAGTTTTCATGTCCTAGCATTTATGGAAAAATTAAATAGCAATAGAAGATTTAAGTTGCTATGATTTGCCAGAAGAATACGGCCGTACATAGCATCTCTTCATTTAAGGGCATCCTTCTTATCTCAAATTATAATATTACTTCTAAAGTTCTTTTGACATTTGAATACGTCAAAGTTTGCCCATAATTACGATTGCCGTATATGTGCCGTGTATGTGCGAAACGGTCATGGAAATCCTGACGTATTAAGGAAAAATTGAAGGGAAAGTCAAGAGTGTTATAATGCATTTTGAAACGATTAAAACGGTTTCTTGCTTAATTCAGTTCTTCGAAAATGAAAATTTCGGAGAGATTGGTTAAAAACGAAGAAGCGATTTTTCTTTTCTCTTATCTTAACATTTCTTAACTCACACGGCCCAAATATATACAAATTATATGAAATGCTTTTGTCGACACATTTATATGCATTCACTTTGATTGGAGAGATGTTATTAAGTTAATTTTCATTTCAGTTCTACTTTGTTAGCATGTTTATAAATAAATAAATAATTGTGCATTTATGTTTAATTATCTGGGCAATCATTTCATTTAAATGCATATACAATTTTTTTTTTTCTTTAACTTATATAGAGAAAATTGTTGATGGTATTCGTTTTTAAAAATTTTCATAATTCACAAATGATTTTAATATTAACTGATTTTTTTTTTTTTTTTTTTTTTTTTTTTTTTTTTTTTTTTTTTTTT